CAGTGAGAAGGTCACTACCGTCTCGTTTCATCTCCATGAGCCAGGTTTCTTTTTTGGAACGGGAACTGACACGGAGATTGGAGCTGAAAGAGGTAAATACGACAACTTCAATGTCCCACTGCAACGTGGAATCACTGACGAACAACTCCACGGAGTTTCCAGCGCGTTGTGAACAAAGCTGTCGAGACGGTGCAACCAGAGGTTATGGTACTTGTCTGCGGTGTCAACACGCTGGCTAGAGATCCACTGGGAGGGTTTAATCTAACGATTGACGGCATTTGTGACTGCGTTGAGTGTGTCATGGGACTGCAGCTACCTGTCTTGTGTCTTGGTGCTGGAGGTCATAGTGGAGCGGATGCTAGCAAGCCTTTTGTTGTTGTTGCCGCGACTGTGATCGCTCAGCGTCAAAATCTTCCCGAGACGATCCCTGAACACGATTTCTATGAAGAGTAAGAAGCCACATGCAGACGAAGTTGGTCTCTATTGCTTACTATTGCTTCGTGTTTAATTGGTTGTAGGTATTTGCCCAGCATGTGGCCTCTCCACGACGCCAGCAGCCCCCTTCTAAATCTCAACACGGCGGAATCCATACGCAAGATGGAGGACTTCGTCTTCAAGAGTCTGGAACAGGTGGCTTCAGTTTGACAGAACAGAATCCAGCGAGTACTTAAGAAGCGTTCTCGTGTTTAACCAGAATTGATGCAACGCAGTTAGGTTCTTGATGCTCCCACCCATGAACTCGGACATATCAAGCCCCCATACATGTTACATCTGCGCCGTCATGGATCGTTGGACTTATGAGTACACTTTTACATCGAGGCGGCTGCACCCGAACATGACGTATGGCTTCTCGCTTATGCTGTCGCTTAAATACGCTTTGAACGTGAATTTTTGAAGACACTGTCGAACGAGACCTTCGGACATTTCCGGCTTCAAGAGAATGCCTGAGGCTGTCCATCAAATCGTGGTCAGCGTTGCGTTTATCGTTCACGTAGTTGAAGTCTTCTCTGCGAATTCTTTACTTGGTTGGTTGTGCGTGGGAAGAACTGTTGCCTGTGCCGCACGTTCAACTCAGGCAGTAACGTTGAATGATGCTGAGTTTGCCAACTTGCATCTCTATACACTCTAGATACCTCCAATGCCTTCGATGTTTTCTTTTGTTCGGACATAGGATGATTGTAGCATGATCTCATATATCAAACGGATATTTATCGATGAAGTAATGTGGAACCCATTCGGATCATGAGTCTCACTGAAGCCAGTAGCTTAGAATTTGAATCTCTGGAGGAATTCTCACCCTTCGATATTTTCCCCGTAAGAAGATGCATGTCGGTCTCGCAGCAGTTGTAAAACTGTGTTTGTATGATAAAAACTATGAAAGTCGGTCACGCTCCTGATATTTTCGCGTCTTATCTGAGTTTGGATCCATTTTCCAGTTACCATGACGTGCCAACGGCAAATTACCTTGAATTATGCCCCCCCACAAAGTGGAAAATGGTTACGGCAAGTCTCCGTTGGCATTATCTCGAATGCTCTTCCTCCCACGAAGTGTGGAAACAATAATCGTGTTTCTCCGCAACATGGTTATGGCAAGTCTCCGTTGTCATCATCTCGATCGACCATCATTCTTTTGTCAACTTCAATTTACAGACCGCCCGCTGGTCTCACTATCGAAAATCCCTCGTGGTGCTCACGTTAACGATGCTGCTGATCTCCACACTCGCCGAGGTAACTTCGGGAACCCTGGCCATCGCGGCAATTGGTAGCTTGGTTCTCTTCGTTGCTGCCTCTTGGCACAAACAACTCAAGTACGGGGTCATTGACAAGAGAACTACGATCCATATCCCCGACTCGACCCTACCACTAATCGGAAATACCTGGGACCTCATTATCCATGGAGTCAAAGGAGACATGCACGACTTCACCGCTCAACTAGGCAAGCAATTCAACGCCGAACCGGTCGTGGTTCGGGCCCTTGGGATCCCACTCAACTTGATCCTCTTCACGCCCGAAGCATTCGAAGACGTGCTAAAAACCCAGTTCCATAATTTCGAGAAAGGTCCTTTCATGTGTGAAAACCTTCGAGATCTGCTGGGTGACGGTATCTTCGCTGTCGATGGAGACCCGTGGGTGCATCAGCGCAAGACGGCAAGCAACCTCTTCACTATGAGAACCTTGAGAGATTCCATGACAACCGTAATCCAGCGTCACGCTGTCACTCTCTATAACATCCTCCAACGTGCCAGTGACAACCACGA